TGGAGCGGAGGTTTGCGGTGGCCGAGGTCCCTGCCGTGGTGGTGCTGAAGCCCAACGGGGAGGTGATCGCGGGCAACGCCGTGGAGGAGATTCGGCGCATGGGGCCCGCCTGCTTCAGGAACTGGCAGGAGGCCGCCCAGCTCGTGGACAGGAACTTTCTCTTGGCCGAAGACTTCGATGACGTGGCTAGAAGAAGCATCACCGACCCCATCCGCCGCCTCAAGTACAAACTGAACAAGACGGAGGATGAAGAAGAGGAAGAGGAAGGTGAAGAGCTCGCCAAGTTGCAGCCTTCCCACCAGTGACTGCCTGGGCAGCCTCCCTGCTCAGGGACACGAGTTTATTTAGCTAATTTGTGGATCCCTGAGATCCTCTGTGATCGTGGTGGTAGCTGCAGAACCCTTAGCACGAGTCAGCTTATGAGTGGGGAGATACAGCAGAAAAACTGGGCTTTACACATGTATTCAGTAACATCTATCAGTATTTTAAAAACCTCCCCATTTTCTGAAAGGAAAATTGTTTTGAGACAAACTACTTTTACATATAGTTTTTGGCATCTAGAAAATTGGTTAGCATATTAAGGGTATTCTGAGCCTGGCCAAATCATGACTCCAGGATACTTACATTTACTGTAGTAAAACATCTCACAGTGAAGTCTCTGTTGTTCATTTATTACATCAGAAGAAAAGTAGCTACTAGAGAGCAGCATTCAGTGAATGAGTCAGTAAAAAATAAATCTCTCGTGTTGCTGCTAACGTTACCATAACGTGTTACTGCTGCAAGTTCACATTCCCGGTGGGTTCATCTGAAAGCTAATGAAGAGGTTGTTTCCTGAGGTTGTTTCCTGCTCTGGATGGAAAGCAAGAGCATTAATATTGGTAGGAATACAGCTGGCAGGGCCAAAACAGGCCAAAGAGCTGTCTGTCCTCACCTGCAAACACTGGCTGGTCACATCTTGAATAAGCAGCTCTCTAAGGCCAGGTCACATCTTGAATAAGCAGCTCTCTGCTTCACCCTCTAGTTTAGGCTGATTTGTATGAAGCCAACAAAGAAGATTCTTTTACACTTTGGGGATCACACAAAAACTGGGTTCAAGAGTCGGCAGGCTGGAGGCAGAGGCATCTCCATTAAAAAGTCTGAAAACCAGCAAACCTGTGAAAGAGTAGAGAATAGTTCATTTGCTCATTTCTGGTCCCTTGTTCTTATAACACAGGTGGGAAAGGAGCTGAGGGTTTTAAGAATATTGGCTACATGATGGATGTGAGAACAGATGTGTGTGTTCAGACACAGAAAAGCAGGGCCAGGGCAGCTCGTACAGCCTGTTTTCTCACTTAATCCTTCCTCTCTTTACCCAGCAAGTTTGATGGGTAGAAGAGGGAAGGAGAAATGATAAGAAATGATTGGGAAGAACAGTCAAAAGCCCTGGCTATCAGGTTTGGTGTAAATGTATATGTGATATATGTCTGGCAGAACAGAATATGTCTGTCCTGTCTGTGTTTACCCACCCTATTTTGCTGGGCTCAGAGCATAAAGTTACTTTTTTATTGGCCAAGCAACAGGCGCTGAGCAATTGTGAAAAATGAAACTGCTAGCAAAGAGAATACTGCTGTGCTGATAATAAAGAGAAACAAGCTCTTTATTTCCCTATTTTGCCCTTTTTTAAATATTTTGTTTTTCTCCAAACACAAGCCATAATGCTTATGAATGTACTCGGGGCGAAAGTGTGAGATAGAGTCATGCCTTTCTCTTAACTAATAAAACTTTGCAGAATGTGGAAAACAGTAGAGACAAGATTTCCAGGCACCTCCTGGGCAGGAAGGCCACTGTGGATCTGAGAACAAGAGGCAGCCCCAGTTAGCGGCACCCATGAAAATTCCTGAATCCTTATTATTTAGAAGTACGACAGAGAACAAAGGTCATTAGTGCAAATATTTGTTTTCTGTTTTTTTTGTTTGTTTGTTTTTTCAGATGTTCTACCTTACAGTTTTTCTGTGTAATTCTTCCTTTGCTTTTCTCCTCTTTCCCAAATAACGATTCCTAGAAGAGGCCTTACTATGATGTACAAGTTAGGTAATACTTTGTACCGAATTGGGAGCACATTCCACAAGTTTCAGCGAGTAAAGACTTAAGGGACGGATCACTCTGATCCTACAGAGGTAGCCTGGGAAGTGAGTAATTTCCCAAGTCCCAGGAGGAATGTGGAAGATCCGCATGCCCTGACACCTGCCTGGGGTTTCAGGCTCATCCCAGCCAAGTTGCTGCAGTCCTTGGGATAAGCAGCCAGCAGATTTTGCACATTAGGTCACGTCTTTTCCCTCATCTCTGTCTTAGCTGAGAAAGGACAAGGGAAGAGAAGCAAAATATTCTCTACAACTCACCTAAATCAACAATTTTACTTGTAGATGCTGTTATGCTAAATAAGAAACTGGTACAGAAATGCAGTGCTGTTGCATACGGATATTCAGAGTCAGAAAGAAGGATGAGGGGAAGAGAAGGAGGAAGAGGAGGGTGACAGAGGAAATGTCATGCTTTTTGTTCCTGGTTCTGTATTTTAAAACACAGAAGCTTGTGAGCAGAGCAACATTTAACCACCGTGCTCCAACATCTGTGCCCAAAAGTGCGTTGCGGCCTTTGATACCTGCCCACAAACGCTGCACAAGCAGAAATCAGTGTGAAGCTGCACGCTGGTGTCTGCTGGTGTCATCACTCCAAAAGCAGGGTGTTCTTGGCACTTATTTAAGTGAACTTACTTAGCTCTAGGACTCCAAGGAACTGGCAATGATTTCCTATGCTCCACACACCAAAAAAGCTCAGCGAGGGGCGCTTTTGTTTCTATTGAGAAGTAAAATTAAGGATATTTAGTAGTGTGGTTTTAGCACGTTTGAAGCGATACTGTATTTTTATGTTGCATAGAGAAAATGGATACTTTTTAAAATTATTTATAACTTAGTGAAGACAAAAGATGAGCTTCACTGGTGAGTGCAGGTTTAACACTTCATTTTTTTGCCACATGCTTCTAATTAATAAGTGCATAAAAAAAACCCTCCAAGTTCTGCTCACTATAAATTTATATATATTGAATAAAGGTGTCTTCTATTTCCCATTTCATAGTTTTGTCACTAACTGATTACAAGTTACATTACTAACTCAATTACGTTACTAAGTCTCCCCTCCTTTCTTCTGTCATGAATTTAAACCTACTGTGCTTTTACCCTTTCCCCTCATCACTGATGATTTCTCAGTAGCCTTTTTGGGTGCATTTGGAAAAAAAAAGGTGGTTTTTCAGGAAACAGCGAGCAAGTGCTACCCGTGTGGAAGATTCACAAAAAGCAAGACCTTGGGTGCTGTGATAGCTGCAAGCGCTGAAGTCCAGAGTCAGAAATGGTCCCTTCATTCTTATTTAACAAAATAGGGCTGAATTATGCAAATCGGATAATCAAATGTGCACTGCACACAGCTTCCTTACGCGGAAGGGTGTCTGCAGGAAGTAGGTTGGCTGCAGCAGCCGCGCTCACCGACACGACACTTCTGCCAAATATTTTGCACGGGTTTTTTTGGCGTGCAGCTACCATGGGCCACTGGGTAACTTGCTAACACCTCGTCTGATCCAGGATTTGTGTTTTAATTGACTTAGCTGGGATTCAAAGCTGGATTCTGCTGCTTTCAGCCCAAAACCTTGAGGATTCAGCCATGGGAGACCCAGAACCAAGTGGTATGTGATGGCAATGGAAACGACCTGGGACTGTTTATAGTGTAAGCTTTGGGGCATGATGTGACTTAAGGCAGATCAGCTTGTAAAGCATTTAGCAAATATGGGTATTATACAGCTGGAAGTTGCTCTGAAGGGGGTTCCTCTGAGGATCTTGGCTGGTCAGTTCACTGAGTCTTTCTTTGGTAGATTTTTTGATGTATTTGTATCACATTTTGACGTTTTCTTAAGAGGAAAGGATGCACCCCCCCTTCCAGGTGTCAGAAGTTACACTGCTTTTTCTTAAGAGATTTGGAGTGTATCATGGTAGTATTTGTATATCGTTAGTTAAAGTCCTTTTGACAAAAAAAAATCCCATAAACCCTTGTTCTGGAAGGTGACAACCTTAATTCTGAATGTAATTTGCTTTCCTGATACACTTTATATGGCTTGTACCAGAGGGCAACAGTAGATCTTCAGTGGCTTTGGGAGATCAGAGAAGGCTTCCCCTCTGCAGTGCAATATTAGAATCAAATACTAAAGCACTTCATTTCTTTGGGGACTAATCAGCACCTTTGGCAGGAGCAGTTAAAGGTGGTTGGTCCTGTAGTACCAATAGAAGAGGTGAGTGATGGAGAAGCAGAGACTGAGCAGTGAAACCACAGGAGGCTGCAGAGAAAGTCGTGCTCCCCCTTGCCCATTGCATCTGCCCCGTCTCTCCACCAATGCCCTTGCTAATCCAATTTGTGCATGTTTCTTTCTAAACATTTTTTAGGTAATTGCTCTGAATCTAAATAACACCAACTAAGCAACTAAGAATTCTTGTACTGCTAAAAGGAATTCTCTGTACTACCTGGGGGCTTGATTCTGGCCTGCCAGAGCCTCATGTTGAACAGGGAACAATCTCTGGTGCTTCAGAGAGATGAAAAAATCTTCATGGGTCTGTAATCAAGGAAATACAACAAATATCATTAGTACTTTCCCAGCTGTCACAATCAAACACATTGTTATCTTTGTAGCTAGAAAAATCAGGCAAATGCAACTTAAGTCTTTGTCACAAAAGCTAAAAAAAAAATTAGCAATAATTTCTGTGTCTCAGGATCATCTGCAGGAAAGCTACGAAGGGAATAATCTGAATTTGTTTAGCTCCTAGTTTGTCTTCAGCAACGTTTCCTCATCCTCCTGCAGCAAGTGTGGCCATGGGCAGAGGCAGAGCCTTATTTCTGTTTTGGCTTCCCCTTTTTTGCACATACCCAACGTTTGCATGGGAGCAATTTTCACAGCAACTTGTGAGAGGCAATTTTCTGTTGTCTCTATCTGCTTTTCAGGGCAGTCTTCCAGGCTGGAGCTGCAAGTATAGCAAATTTGAAGACATTCAGGTCCATTCTGAACTGAGAGATAATAATTTCCAAGGCCACTTAAGCACTCTATAATAGGGTTGTCTGCCTTGTTAATGGGTCTAAAATCTTACAATCATCGAGCACTTCACCAGATTTTTTGATACAAACTCGATCACTAATAAATTCACCAAAGAGCA